AACCAAACCCCCTGCTGTCTGACCAGGCACCACCCGCGGCTGGACCAGACATCCCACAGAACCCGGACGAGCTCTGGGCCGAGGCCCAACGGGCGATATTCGACGAACAGGAGGACGACCCGTTCGGCTTCGGCGGGGGACTTGACTTCCTAGGCGACGGGCCAGCCAGCGCCAACCTTGCCCCGTCGGGCATCCGCACGTCGCCCTCGACTCCGCCACTGAGAGCGGCATCGCACCCACATGACAACGCCGCTCACCTTCAAGACGCTGACGAACAGGAGGACGACCTGTTCAGCTTCGGTGGGGGATCGGACGCTTTGGACGACGGACCAGTCAGCGAAAACCCTGCCCCGTCGGGCAACCTCTCGACGCCTACCGCGACTCCGTCTCCGAGAGCGACATCGCCCCCATACGATGATATCGGCCACCGCCAAGACGCCGACGACGACCTGGGTGACCCCCGCGGACTGAGTGGCATAGACGACGCACCGCCGACACCCCACGCTGCCGACCATGCCGCCCTACCGAGACGCCACCCTACTACGCGGCTGACCTCAGAGCCCTCGCACGGCATCATGATTGGTCCCACCGCGCAAACCACTCCGCCCCCCCACCAGCGGCAGCCCGCGGGGGCGGCTTCAGCCCCCCCGCAGGGCACTGAACCAGACAGGCCCTCGCGCCCCGTCCACGCTTCCATCGTTGCTGAGCGAGAGGATGCGGCTCTCCCGACCTCTCGGGGCGTGGCCCTAGCGGCTCCAGCCCTGGGGTCGCGTGTTCCCCTCCAGTCACCTTTCAAGGGTGACGGACGACAGCGTACAGGGTGCCGCACTACGCTAGTCCACCATCTGGACAGGCGTACCGAGGACCTCGCCTCTGTCTCGAGGCCCTCGGCCGCTGGCACTGAGCAGCCACCCCTCACCGACCGCGAAACCGAGCTGTCCCAGGCTATGGCTGCTCTCCAGCAGAGGTGCGTTGCTCTCGCCGCGGACCTCGCCGCCGCCCAAGCTCGCCAAGGCCCTCTACTCCAGCGCCTCCACAGCGCCGGGCGAGCCTTCGCCGAGCTGCTCACGCCCTCGCCCGATGGTGCCGTGCCGTCACTCACCATCCAAGCTATGCTGTCATCGTTCCGCGGCGCTCCACCTGGTGCCCCGCGCTAATCTCCTCCTTTCTGCCTGCCCGTGAGTACGCGTGGCTCCGCGTCCACGGTGTCAGGGCGTGGGGGCGGGGGGTGCCCCGTCACTGCGCGCCGCTTTGCGGCCAAGCGCCCAACTGGCGGTCTGCCAAGCCGCCTAGCCACGTGTCAGCACGTCGCCTTTCTTGTTGGGGCCTCTTTCTTTACGCGGTCTGACAGGTGAGATCATCACCGTCTGTCCGCCGTCTGTAGCGTCTGTCGCACTGCGCCGGGGGAGGGTTTTTTTGTTGCCCGCCCTCGTATCTAAAGGCTGCACCGCCGCAAATAGTGTTTTGCGAGTTGTCGCACCGCAGTGCGCCTCGCGGACGGACCCTGGTCCGCCTACTTGTCCGCTCTCTCTCTCTCTCTCTCTCTCTCTCTCTCTCTCTCTCTCTCTCTCTCGTTCTCTCTCTCCCCCCCCCCCCCTCGCGCCAGCGCGTTTCTTCTGGCCCCCGCCCCTCGCGTCTCTTCCGCCCGCAACGCGCTGCCGCGCGGCATTCAAACCCGGTCAGTTCACAGGGGCGCGCTCTCGGCCCAGCCCCCGCTCGCCCCAGAGCGCCCCGCCCCCCCCCGCGCCAGCGCGCGCGCCGCCGCCGCCGCGCAAAGTTTGGCGCGGGTGAGACTGCGAGACCAAGCGGCTCCTGTTGGCGCCGGCTCCAACGAGCCTCGTTCCGCGCCGACCGCTGCGCGCTCCGTCGGCTACTCCTGTCCGCCAACGTTCTCCCGGATGCATCTCGCCCCCTGCGCCCGCAATGTCGCGACCGCCACTTCCAGGGCGTGTTCGGTGCGACTGACGTCGCTGCGTGACATTCGACCCTGCTCCAGACATTTGGGCCGTTTTTCGGCGTCGCCGCGGCGGTCGCCGAGGCCGACGCGCGAAATGTTTCGGCCTGATTCTATCATCACGGTGCCTGGGATATAGGGCCCTTCCCGCCCCAGTGTCAGATTAAATCGTGAATTCTCCGCTTGCAAATATGTCGGCAGCGACGCAGCGGACCCAGTCGCAGCGTTGTCTAGTTGTTCGTCTCGTCTCGCGTTCGACTGTCGCTGCCCGGCCCCCCCCGTTCCGGAGCGCGTCTTGCCGCGGGCGCGCGCTGGGGAACCGCTAGTGCACGGCAGTGAGCGCGCAAACGCACGCGCAGAAGTGCGCGGTGCACAGATGAGGGGCCCAACGTGGAGGTCCAACGTGAAGGTCCAATGCGAAGATCCAGCGCAAAGATCCAACGCGAAGATGCCGCGCGAGGATCCAACGCGCAGACCCGCCCAGAACAAATATCCAACGTACATACCCAACGTGCAGATCAAATTTGAAGATCCAGCGGAAGGGCATCTGACGCGAGGAACCAACGCGCAGGGGCCCAACATAAAGAGATCCAGAGTGGGGAGATCCAACGCACATTCTCCTAGCGCAATGGCGTCCGACGTGCAGATGTCCAGCGCAAATATATCCAACGCAAAGAGATCCATCGCGAATGCATCGAACCCAAAGGGGCGCCCACCTAGAGAGATCTAGCGCAACTTTGGTCCAGCGTGAAGAGACCCAACGCGCGGGGGCCCAACGTGCAGAGATCCTGCGCGCAGAGATCCATCGTAGAGATATTCCACGCAATGAGATCAATCGTAGAGATCCAGCGCGAAGAGATCCAGCGCGCAAAAGATCCAACGTAAAGCGGCCCAACGTGAAGAGACCCAGCTTCAAGGGGTCCCACGCGCAGAGATCCGACGCAAGGAGATCCATGGTGAAGAGACCCAACGCGCAGAGATCCAACGCAAGGAGATACGACGCGAAGAGAGACAGCGCAATTGGGATTGCAACGTTCAGAGATCCAGCGCAAAGAGACCCGACGCGCAGAGCCGGCGCAACGGGGTCCAACGCGCACGGATCTAGCGCAAGGAGAGACATCCAACGTATAGGGATCCAGCTTCCAGAGAGCCAGCGCAAAGAAAAACAGCGCAACGCGAGGAGATCCAACGCGAAGAGATCCAACGCGAGGCGATCCAACGCGAGGAGACTCAGCGTAGAAGGATTCAACGTAAAATATACCCAACGCCAAGGTCTAACGCGAAGGTCCAACGCGAAGATCCACCGCGAAGATCCAGCATGAAGACCCGCGCGAAAAGAAAACATGTCCTTCGTAACGGCCCGCGGCAAGTATCCAACGTGAAGAAATCCGACGTGAAGATATACAACGTAAAGGTCTGAAGGGCAAGGCGGGCGCAAGGTCGCGATGCAACGTGCAGCCCCAACGTAAATATCGCACGTAAATAGCCAACGCAAAGATCCAACGCGCAGACCCAGCGCAAAAAGGCCAACTCGAAAACAGACAGCCCACGTGGCGACCCGAATCAAATATCCATCGTCAAGATCCAAAGGGGTGATCCAGCGTAAGGATCCAACGTGCAGACCCACCGTGCATATTTAACATGCAGATCCAACGCGCAGATCCTACGTACAGGTCCAGCGCGAAGATCCGAAGGCGAGATCGAACGTAGAGATCTGCGCAGCAAAATACAGATCCTACGTGACGACCCAACGCAGATACCCAACTTGAAGATTCAACGTGGAAACCCAATGTAGAGACCCAGCGCACAGTTCAAACGTACATTTCCAACGTAAAGAACTAACGTGAAGACCCTCCGCAAGGGGGTCCAACGCAAGGGTCCAACGCGCATGTCCAGCCTAAGTACTCCATGTGCACTTTACCACCGCTCAACAGTTTAACCCACTAGCCAAATGAGAGAATCCAGCGTGCGAATCCATGCAACGTGAGAACCCACGCTGCAGCAACTAATGTACCACATCCAATGTGAAAAAATGGAAACCAACGCATTTGGTTAAAAACGTCAACGTAGCAGTTGGAATATGACTGCAGAGGGAAAACTGGTTAAACTTGTAGAAATAACAAGGCGGCACGTAACTCCAACATGGAAGTCCACCGCGCAAATCCAACGGACAAATCCATCTCGAGCGTCCAACGACCAACTCCTGCGTAACAGTCCACCGGGAGGGTCCAGCGTAAAGACCATACACGGAGATCCAACGTGAAGATCCAAAGCAAAAGCCCAACGTAAAGATCCAACGTGAAGGCCCAACGTAAATTGCAACGCAAGCGTGAACTTACAGCTCAAAGGTCAGTTTGCACTTGCAGTTTTCCGTCGTTCTGGGGGGGGGCGCCAACACGGAATCAACCCAACAATGAAGCCAGCAATGAAGCCATCGTTGATCCGGCCGTTTCTTTTAAAGTCGTTGTACCTTATGGCGCGCTCCCACGGAGGCCATGTCGGCCCCTCAGGCTTTCCATGGGGGGTCGCCATCTCACACGCATTCATTGGAAGCGCTAGTGCGTGAATTTTGCTGCATCGGTGGGTTTGCTGATTGCTGATATATATATATATATATATATATATATATATATATGTATATACATATATATACATTTTTATATATATATATACATACACATATATATATATATATATACATTAGAGTTTGAAGGGTTTCGATCTGGCTGGGGCGCATCAGGGCGTACCCTTACCCCCGCGGCTCTGCGATGTTTACGTGGATCATTATTTCTAGTCGAACGACAGAGGGTTGACAATGTGTACCCAACGTGGCCAGTCCAACGTGGCCAGTTATCACGCAACCATCCATATCCACAGCTGCTGGAGTGCTGTCCTTGGTCCTTGAGGAACGTTGGATGTGAGTGAATGCTCTCCCGCCCCCAGCGGATGGGCAACCATCCAGGCGAACCATTCTTCGAGAGGCCTCGAGGTCCCAGGGCACAACTCCGAGGCAACGGATGTCGATGTATTCTGGCGGTGGGGCAAGGTACGCCGACCTGATGCTGTCACCGCAGCAACTCCTGTCGTGCGACTCGGCCAACCGCGCGTGCTCTGGCGGCGACGTCGACGCGGTGTGGGGCTACATCGAGCGCGAAGGCTCCCTGCCTCCTTCTCTACCTCTTCCGCCTCCTCCTCGTCCTCCTCCTCCTCCTCCTTTGCCTGGGACGCAGGGTCCCAACATCATATTATCATGTGGTCAGCCAGCTTTCACGCAGCTCGGCTTTTGCCGTAATGACTGGTCAAGGGAGCCTGGCTCCTGAACTGTTTTTTATCGTCGGAACGCTCCGCCTCCGACGAGTGCCTCTTCTTCCTCTTCCTCCTTTTGCTCCTCCTGCTGTTGCTGCTGCTGTTGCTGGTGCTCCTCCTCCTCCTCCTCCTCCTCCTCTTCCTCTTCCTCCTCCCCCTCCTTCGGGTCGGACGAAGATGGGGATTAGGAAAGGGTGGGTTACGACATCTACTGCATGCAACTGGTTTCGTCCACACCACCTGGCGTGTTCCCCCCTTTGCTATCCCCCCCATTCGTCCTTCAGCTCCGCCTCCGCCTCCGCCTCCTCTTCCCCTCCTCTTCAGCCTCCGCCTCCTCCTCTCCGTCCTCGTCCTTGTCCTCCTCCCACCGCCTCCCTCCTCCTTCCCTCCATCCGCCTCCCCCCTCCCTCCCTCCCTGCTCCTTCCTCGTCCTTCTGCTCCTCCTCCTCTTCCTGTTCCTCTTCCTCTTCCTCCTCCTCCTCCTCCTCCTCCTCGTCCTCCTCCTCCTCCCTCTCCTTCTCCTCCGGGAACCAGACAAGCACACAACCGTGCTCGCCGGACGTCCGCGGGCGGCCTCTTTGTCTGGCGTTTGATCCCTTCTGCACACCTCCTGGCCGCGCTCCCAGTGCCGTCCCCGGACGCGCTTCGAGGGTGCGGGGTCGGGTGCGGCCACGAGGGGGGTGATGATTGGGGGGTATCATGGCCGGAGCCATGATGTCCTTGCGGGCCCCTCCAGCTGTGAATTCTTTGTGTTGCGTGTGCTGACCAACGTGCGATGTGCATGGCGACAAGCAAACGTAATTTGCTCACAGCAGCGAGAGGGAGCGTTTAGCTAGGGGTGTATCATGGCTGGGGCCATAATGTTCCCCAGATAGGGGAGTGGGGGATGTTCTCTGGCTATTGAGGGTTTGCTTTCCAGGGGCTGCACCTCGCCGAGAGCTTTCCAGGGGTGCCCTGATGTCCCGAACGGCTGCTTGAGGCCTGAGTCCCGACCCGAAAACCACCATGCGTCGAAGAAGGGGTTGATGACCTTAGGCGGGGTTGGATATAATGGCCGGGGCCATGGCATCTGCCTTGATTTCATGGCCCTCCCCTCTTAGACCAGCGCGTCCCCTGGGCCGCGCACGTGCCTCGGGCTACGATTTGCGAGACTCCTCTCTTGGACGCCCCCCTCATGGACGCCCCCGATGCGGACGGGGTCCGGCGCTGGCGAGAATCTGCCGTCTGACGTTCCTGCCGATGTGCTTTTCCACTCTCATCCTGCCCACTCTGTCCCCCCGTCTTTACATCGAGGCAGTGTTAGGAGGGGGTAGGGTCAGGGGGACGCATCGATCCCCAATCGCCCAAACAGCGCCGATTGGGGCATTATAGCCCGCCCCGCCCAGGACCGTGCGGATTCGCCATCGGGGGCCTATCACCGATCTATCGGCGATACATCGCCGATCCACGCTCGATGTTTCCAAACCTCAGCTGGTCCTCCTTTGCAAAACCCCAACCACAGCCAGCCCCGGTCCATGGCGGGGGCACCTCGAGTGCTTCGGCGCCCAGTCGCCCCCGAGGTTTCGTGCGCCCGCCGCTTACGCGCGCGAGCGTCGCACGCACGAGCAAGGTGGAGGCCGAGGGCCTAGGCCGTGCGCAAGTCGAGGGCCGAGCGCCTGTCCATAGGAATCGCCGAGCGCAGGGCGGAATCCGAGTTCGGCGGAGAGCAAGGGGGAGAAGTGAGAAGGAGGAGGCCTTCTCAGAACGTGGTGGGCCTTCTCAGAAGCGCTCAAGCTTTTTGAGAAGTTTTACGTGTCCTCGTGAACGGTTTAGACAAGTTTTCAGCAGGCCTGGAGATTTCCGAGCTTTCTGAGAAGGCCTTCTCCGTCTCAGTTCCCCCCTGGGCTCGCCGCCGACGAGCGGAGGGTGTTCGAGCCAACGACTCGATGGTGCGATGATGTTGGATTGTGCAGCCTGTCAGCAGGAAGCGACCGCGATCATGGCGTTATATCGGGGACAGGCATCTTTGAAGGTTCATCGGTTCACTCATCGAGGGGAGGTACCATGCGCCCAGGGTGTAGGATCCAGTCCAACAATGTGTTCAAGTGCAACCACGTGAAGCACTCGGAGAACATACGGCTGCCGTAGTTGTGCTTCGGGGCGTTATCGGCGACGTTCGATGGCACGGGCGAGGCAAACATTGCCACACACACGTATTTCCAGATGGCCATGTGGCGATTTGAACCATGCGTTGTTTGCTCCATGACACCCAAGTGTAGCTGCAGGCGCTCACGCGAACTCGTATTCGCCAGGGGTGTCGCTTGGTTGGGCACAACCATAGAAGTTCGGATCCCATGTAGAGTAGCTCACCACCGCTTTCGCCGGGTCCTGGCGGGACAGGTCCTCGTCGGACCGCCTCCTCCTCCTCCTTCAAGTCGCGGACCTCTCCTGTAGCACGTTCTGACCTGGAGTTCGAGGCGAATCCATCCGTGGCGGCGAGGCCCCCTCAAAGAGGCCCATGAATTTGAAAAAACGACGAACTCTCAACCCGCCCCCCTGTTCATCCTTTGCCTGGGTCGAAGGTCTCGTCAACGAGAGCTGCTTCCCGTACCAGGGCGACGGCACCGTCAGCTGCCAGGCATTGTGGTTGTGTCGTCGCAGGAAAGAATGTGAGTCAGAGGGGCAGACGGACAGAGGAGGAGGAGGAGGAGGAGGGGGAGGAGTCTGAGGAGGAGGATGAGGAGGAGGAGGAGGAGGAGGAATATGATGGTAAGGAGGAGAAGGAGAAGGATGGGCAGGGGGGAGGAGGAGGATGGTGGTGGGCAGAGGAGGCGGACATGGAAGGGTAAGTGGATCAGCAGGAAAAGGAGGAACTCACGATTGAGTTCTTTGCCCAAGATCTGCCACCCTCCAGTGCCATTACTAACATGCCACGTGGGCAGCATCGATGGATGGCGGGGCCGATTATGTAGCTGTCCCACATCCTTTGTGGTTGTCTTTCTGGGATCACGCCCGCCTCTGCAGTTTGGCGAAGGTGCTCGTCGGCGAAGGCTCTTCGTCAGGCCACCAGTCTCTGATACGGGCGGCCTTCAGCTGTCAATCCATTGAACGCGTTGTGTCGAGTGAGGGAGAGACGGAAGAAGGTAGCGAGTGAACGTTGGAGTGGGTGGGCGAGTGGGCGAGCGAGCGGGTGGGCGAGTTGGTGGGCAATGCGAGCACACCATCTCCTCGACCATTAACCACCATCTTCTCGAACATAACTACCCAAGGTGCATTCTCTTTCTGTCTCCATGTATGTATGTATGAAAGAGCGCGTTCTGTGGTCGCTTGTAGGGGGGGGAACCGGACCCCCCACCGGATGGAGGGGGGGAGGTTCGAACCCTCCCCCCCCCCGTCCCGTGACGGAGGGGTCCTCGGGCTGGCGCCTGCGTTGGCGGCGGCTGGCGGCGGCGGCGGGGGCGACGACTTTCTTTTCTGGGCCGTCGCCGTAGCCTGCCCTGGCGGGCGGCGGCGGCGGGGAGCGGGGAGCGTCGACGAGGACGACGGCGACGACGATGACGACGACGACGACGCTCCGCCAACGTGCCTTGATTTTGGGTAAGGGTCCTCATGGATGCCTCTTGGGTCTCGTCGGAGGGCTCTCGGGTGCTTCTGCCTAAGGGCCTCCCGGTGGCTTCTGGGTGTGTGTGTGTTCCCTCTGCAGCATCTGGGCCCTTTGCTGCGTCCCCGCCGTCGGCGTTGCTACCCGCCTCCAGCGCGCCTGCGCCGGCGCCGGCTCGAAGATGGGGGATTTTTACCCTCCCCCCCTCCCCTGGGCTGCTTCTGGTCATCGTCGCTGCGTCCCCGCCGTCGGCGCTGCTGGCGGCTGCCAGCGCCAGCGCCGGCGCCGGCGCGGGGTGGGGTGGGGGGTTTGGACCCCCCCCTGGGGAGGGGGGGGGAGGGTCGCGAGGGGTGGGGGTTAGGGAGGAGGGGGCCCCACTTGTTCTGATCGACGGCGCCGAGTTTTTTTTGGGGCTCCCACCCCCCGGTTCGAAACGCGCCGCCGACTGTTCCCAAGGCAAGCGCCCCTGAAACGCGCTCTCTCGTATGTAAGTATCTCTATCTACTTATCAATCAACGAATACTATATATATATCTATATATATATATATATGTATGTATATATATATGTGTATATTCATATTCTATCGATCTATATACACATATATCTTACTGTCTGTCTGTCTATATATATATATATACATATATATCATTCTTTAACTATCATCTATTGGGGTACCCTGGGCCTGGGCCCCGGGCCTGCACACCCTCCCTGATTCCCCCACTCGTTTGGCACCGGACAGCTGGACACCCTCCGGGGCCTGCCGGGCCCCCCCCCGACCACTCAAAGCATTTCCGGGGAGCACAACTGAGCGACAAGAGCGGCCCACCAGGAACCCAAGAACGGCTCAAGAGGCCCCCAATGTCGCCTTAGGACGGCCCAAGGGGCCCCCAAGAGAGCCCCAAATCGGGCCGAGAGAGCCCCAGAGCCCTAGGGCGGTCCAACTGCTTTGGGCGCCTTTTGGGCCAACTATGGATGGCCCAAAGAGGGGCCTACGAGGGGGAACTCCAACTCACATTTCGTTCCGTTCGAGGCCTGAAAACCATCACGTCATTAATTTTGGGCCCAAGGGCCCACTGAGGCCCCAGGGGCCCACTGAGGCCCCAGGGGCCCCAGATTAGCTAGTTGATGTGTTTCCCACGTGAGGACCCCGAAATTCATCACTTCACTAAACCCAGCTCAGGACGAAAGTCAGGGGCCGAATTGCTGCTGTGATGCAACACAGATCTCGAGCCCTCCGCCCCAATTGGACCCCCTAGATCACCAGGAGGCCCCCAAGAGGCCCTTAAACGGCCAGAAAGAAGCCCTCCAGAACCTCCAAACAGCCCCCCAGAAGCCCCCATTGGCTTCAAAACTAGCTCCTGGAGGCGCCCGAGAAGCATGCTAAGAGACCCCAACAGGTACGTGTCCAAGAAGCCCCTGACCCACAGCCCAGGCACGGTGGTGGGTTGAGCCCAAGGCCAGTAGATTAACAAACCATGAGCCGTGCGAAGGGCGCTGACGCCGCAGGTGGAGCCCCCATGTGGGGTACGACTCGTATGAGTCATGTGCCGAAATGGGCGGAGGGACGCCATGCGAAGTGTCCCAGTGGTGATATAGGTGGAGCTTTTACTTTTCGCGTGAGGGGCGTCCTGAAATGTGCGGGAGTATGCTGTGTGAACCTTGTCTCTGGAGCTGTGGGTGGTGCTCCCTGTGGATCTGGATCCGCTTGATAGGGTGTGCCGCAATGGACGGATTGGGCGACCTTCGTGTCTACTGGGGGCCCACGAGTTTTTGAAGGCAGGTTCGAGCGGCCTACGGGTGCGCCCCCCGCCTCACACATGTATTACTTGATGCATGCATGTATGGACGCCTAGATGGATTAGTGGTGTATGGATGCTTGTGAGGAGAAATGAAACAATGGATGTCTGGATGGATCAGTTCACAGGTGTGCCATGTGTGCTTTCTCCGCTGCTTGGATGAAGGTATCTGGATGACTATTTATATGTGTATATATATATATAGGTATCGGAGGTTGGGGGGTGAGATCGCAGTGAAACGGAGGCCCCCCACCGGGAAATCGGTTTCGGTTTCGTGTTCGTGTCGTGCGTGCGGGCGAGGCGAAGCTGCGCGTGATCCTCCTGTAGCTAGGCCGAAGTAGGAGCGAAAGTCCGTTCCCGTCCGCCGGTGGTTGGGAGGTGTCCCAGTTGGGCCGGGCGGTGTCCCGGGTGTCCCGGGTGTCAGTAGGAGCGAAAGAAGTCCGTTTCCTGGCCGCCGGTGGCCGGGCGGTGTCCCGGGTGTCCCGGGCGTCCCGGCGCTAACGCATGTCGCTCATTTAAACATTTATTTGTTTCGGCGCCCGCGGCGGGCTTTCTTATCCAATCCAGGTTATCTTATCCAATCCATCTTGTCCAATCCAATCTATCTTATCTGATCATCTGATGCAACCCATCTTGTCCCATCTTATCTCATCCCCCCCAATCCAATCCACCCGACCCAATCCATCAATTCATTTGTTTCTGCGCCTGCGGTGGGCCAGTCCAATCAATCTTATGTTATCCAATCCATCTCTTCCAATCTAACCCATCATCCGATCCATCGTATCCCATCCAATCCAACTCACCCAACCCAATCCATCAATTCATTTTCGTCGGCGTTTGCGGCGGGCTTTCTTATCCAATTCAGCTTACATTATCCAATCCATCTTGTCCAATCCAAACCATCTTATCTTACCCAACCCGTTTGGTTCCATATCATCCTTTCCCACACAAGTCAATCCATCCGACCCAATTCATTTGTTTTTGCCCCTGCGGCGGGCCAATCCAATCCATCTTATCGTATCCAATCCATCTCTTCCAATCCAACCCATCTTATCTTTTCCAATCCATATCATCCCATCCAATCCAATCCACCCAACCCAATCCATCATTTCATTTTTGTCGGCGCTTGGTCGCGATCGCGGCAGACTGGATATCAGTCGTGGCGACAGGCTGGAGGTCAGTCAGGGTGGGCATTTGATCACAATCCACCCCCTTAACCTCTTTATCGCCCGCATGGTGGTCGTACAGGTGTGTATACATGTATATATGTATATATGCATGTGTACGATATATTATATATGTGTGTAGATGTATATTTATAGGTGTTTATTTAAATATGTATTCATTTTCTACATGTATGTATCAGTTCCAGATGGTGAATGCATGGGCGAATTTATGGTTGACTTGATGTAGGAACGGACGGGGCGACGCATGTGTGCACGTGCGCTTGGGGAACAAGGTTGAAACGTGACAGGACCCAAACGCGCGCGACAACCCTTCCAGCTCCGATATTTCCAAAGCTTCCAGCATTTCCAAGCTGAAAACGCAACCTTGCCCTAAGCCCGAGTCCTCCTAAGTGAATCCAGGCCTCGCAGTACGCTTTGGGATGGTCGCCAGCGCTAATCGTGGCATGCGCTCGCTGTGTGGAGCAACGCGCGCGTTAGAGCTGAGGCCAATCGTGGGTGCATGCATGCGTGCACCCGGGAGCTGGCTAATGTGTGCAACCGTGACCCCCTTGAGGGCTGGCGCTTGCTAGAACCTAGGCGCGAGTGGTTCTAGCATCTGTAGTTGCAGGGCCGAGTGGTATCTACCTTTTGCATTCGATGATTCAATGCGTTGTTATTTATGCCACGTACAGAAAATATGAAGCTTCTGATTCATTACGTTACCGAGGAACCCCACATCTTTATTTTATGTCCTGCGTGGCCTCCTATTCCTCCTCCTCTTCCTCCTCCTCGTTCCTCTTCCTCTTCCTCCCTCTTCAACGGTCATCCTCCTCCTCCTTCCTCCTCTTCCGCTTCGGCCTGGCAAGAGAGGATGGGGTCACCGAGGGCAGTTTAATGGAACGGGGCGTGGATAAAGTGCTTGCAGGTAAAGGCATCAGCAAAAACCCTTGGACGGAAAGTCTCCCGGAACGCCCCTCGATGGAAAATCTCTGGCACGAACAAGTGCCACGCCTGCCACGCTTTGCGAGGCCGAAGCGGATAGCGACCGCAACCCCTGCGCACCCCGTGTGGC